CTGCCGCGCCCTGGGCTGCTCCGTGCCGCCCCCGCGCGTGCTGTCGCCGCTGTTGCCGACGCCGGGCCCCGACATCCCGGCCCCGCCGCGGAGGGGCGAGGCCCGGCTCAGGCCCAGCTCTAAAAGCACAAGAGGGAAACCATCAGAGCCCGAGCTAAGGCTTGCCTGAGCGACTCTTACATTGTTTTCAAGAGACCTCCCCCCCCCCACTCCTCTGGTAGCCTTCACTCCTGTCCCCTTCTCCTTCGTCCTGCTGTCCCCCACCCCCGCCTCAGGCCTGTCCGTTCCTTTCCTCCAAGCTCTGCCGCTTTTGTACCTGCCCGAACATAAATAAATCGTGCAAACACGGCCCCCGGGGTACCCGTCGTTTCCCGAAAGGTTGACTCTTGATGAAGAGTCTAAGACAGCTCCGTTTTCTTCCTAGGATGTGTGTACGGCGGCGGAGTGTGGGGACACTTGCCGTGAGCATCAAGCGTGAGATTGGGGACTGTCACATTGGGGCGGACCATGAGCCATTCTTGAAGGAAGAAGAGGAAGAGGAACAGGAAGGAGAGAAGGACAGAGAGAGAAAGGCCGTCCCGAGAAACCCGAAACTCGGTGACACGCTTGCTGGAGGCTCCTGTCTGTTTCCTTTTCCGTCGCTGCCACGCGCGCGTCGCAGGAAGCTCGACCCTAAGTCCCGAGCGTGAGTCCTGAGTGTCTCCTGTCTTCACCTGGCCTTTGCACACACACCCTGCACACCTGTGTCTTTGTGGGCAGCAAGTACCCCGTTGGCACCAGGGACGCGTCCCAGCTTTCTTGGTCGCCATGGTCTGTAATTCAAATTTACAAAACAAAACATTTCTTGACCCTTGTCTCAAGACTCAGAAACGGAGGTTCTCTCCGAGGGATCCACATTTGGTTTTTTTAAAAAGAGGTCTCTTCCTCCGTTGGGGTCTTTCTGGCAAGCGGGCGGCGTTGGCTTCTCCCCGAAGTCCTTTTCCCTGGGGCGACTCCCGACTGCTGACGCCGTGCCGAAGCCTGCCACGATGCAGCCTTTTCTTTCCTTCTCTGCACCTCTGTCCTGTCTTGGCTTAAGTTCTGTTTTACCCCAAGGATCGATAGAGAGGAAACACGGATTTTTTTGTTTGTTTGTTTTTAACCGAAACTCTCGCCAGGGGAAAACCAGCAGCGAGAAAGGGGCGCCAGTTTGCGGCGAGGCGGGCAGGACTCCACTAATTAGAGCCGGTGAGGGTTGGAACCGACTCCGAATCCCCACCTGCGCTATTTCTATTTCCTGTGGCTTGGGGCTGTTTGGTATTTAAAGTTTAAGGAAAGAAAAACTTCCTTCAGAGATGCCTATGCTCAGAGAAACTGAGGATAACTCCCCTCGCAAAGAGGAAAAACACTGACTGAGTTTGTTTTCTTAGCAGATCGAAAGGTGACAACTGACCTTTAGAGATGCTGGGAGTAAGCAGGACCCCTATTTAAAAGTCGGTGACCACTCAGGCCCAGGGGCTGCGCGGCACCCCGGGAGCGTGTCTGCACCCTGCACCCTCCTGGTCACAACTCCGAGACCCTCCCACCCTGCGTCCCTGAAGGTAAGGTGTGTCAGCTGGGGACTGATGAAGCTTCTGAAGCCCACCAGGAAAGTCCCTTCCCTGCGCCGATCGCCGCTGCAGCCCTAGGCTCAGTTTCTGGATCCGGGCTCAGGCCCTTCCTCAGCGCACGGGACAGAAGAGAGGCCGCCCCGGGGTCGGCCAGCCAAGAAGGAAAGCCGCGCTTGCCTTCGGCTGTGAAGCGACGGCTGTGAAGCGACAGCTGTAGTCGGAAGAGCGCGACCCTTTCTCAGCAAAGCCGAAGTGAACGCCCAGTTGGCGGAGCAGCGCAGAGGGAGTTTAGCGTTCAGAGTCCGCTGCAGAAAACTCACCAGCTTCTTCGCGAACACAGCAAAGTTTAATGATCTCCAGGCTCCTGGAGCCAATGAACAGCCAGCTGCAACTAGGTGAATAACTCTAAACTAGCCGCTTAATCTTGTTTATTCGGTTAGCTTGCACCTTGAACCAATGAGCAGTGGCCCAGCCTGACAGAGGAGGCCCACCCTGCCAGGCGCTTCTCGAGGACCGGTGGTGAGAATGCCCACCGAGGAGCAGAGGTCTGGCGAGAGCAAGGCGGCTTTCTCACTCCTCAGAATGTCGGGACCCTCCTGCTAGAGCCTTCTCGGTCGGTCGCAGGAGCCCCGACGCAACATAACTCCGCGTCCTCCAGGTCTCCTCCCGCAGGCTGGACGCAGGTGCCGGGCAGGGCCTCGCTGCCTGCGCCTGGGTTGCGCCTTCAGGGACCTAGGGACAGGAGCCGTCTCCCACGGCTGCTAAAACCCGAGCTGCCCTTAACATGCTCCCTGCAGCAAAAGACCCGGCTCCAGAGCCCACCAGGGCCTTCCACTTCGGGAGGCTCAAACACTGCCTGGTCCCCACCTCCTGTCGTCTAAACTGGTGTGGAGGAACTGCGGGGCTGGCTAGGCCACTCAGCAAACCCCCAAACAGGGCCAGGCCGGCCGGATTGACCCCAGAGCCCATGGAGGTTCCACTGGCTACATTTTTTTTTTTTGCAGTGTTTAGTGTAGGGAGAGCTCGGAGATGCCTGTGAAAGGTGGTGGTGATGGAGCAGTAGGATTTCGCTGTGAGAATGAGAAACCGGAGGTTTGGGGAACTGCGGCCGTGAGTAGAAGTGATGCGTTTGTGGGAATCAGAGGAGCCAACCCTTAAGATTCAGAACCTTATTTTCTTTAGGTGAGCATGACGCCCACTGGGTGCCGGGAGAAGATGAGAGTGGAGGCTGAGAGGCCTGTCTTTTGGACTCTTCATATGGAAAATGGGAAGAGGCCCTCGGACCCAGGATGCTATGAGATGCGTTTTTTCCCACGCACCGATCAGTAGAGATCCCCTCCCCTCCCCCATAGTCCCCCTGTAGGAGCCAAGACCTTAGCGCTTACTCACGTGACTCCCTCGCCCGTTCCGCTTGCATCTCCATGTCCGCCTCACAGGGATTCCCAGGAGGCTCTGATAGGTCTTGCCTTCTGTCGCCGCTGCCGCTGCCACTAGCGGTGTGGTGATCATCTGACCCTCGCGGTTCTGGGGCCATTCGCAGGTACAGAGAGTTGTCGGGGTTCCTCCGCACTCCCCGGTGTGGCGAAACCGCCGGGCCGCTTTGCTCGCCCTCCAGCTGCAGGATGTAACTGACAGAAAAGGGGGTGGAGGTGGCCCGGCTCAGCAGCATCCCGAAGGCGGAGGGGCGGGGCCGAGCAGATTCAGGTCCCCGCCGAGCGCAGCTCCTTGAGCCTTCCGTCTTTGCAGTTGCAGGCCCCTTAGACAGACCCAAGCTCTGGGACAGACGCCCAGACTCCTGGACCGCACCTTCCTCTGGGCCATCCTTGCGGGCCGGGGGATCAGGGCTGGGTGGGGAGACAGCCGCCCCCCATTGGTTCCCGCAGAAACCACGTGCTAACCCTGCACTTTCCTCTCCAAGCGCCTTCTTCCCGCTCGCTTCTAATCCTCCCCAACCCCCAGTCTCCTTCCTGAGAAGTTTGGTTGTTATTGAGGGTTCTCAGAAGCAAAGAAAACGTGGGGAGACGGTGCTGCGCGCGGCTCCTATCTCCGTCAATACGGTACAAGCTAGAACTTTCGAGGACAGTCCAGGGTCCGCGAGGACCCTCCTAGAGGATGTGCGGGGATGGAAGCGTGGAGTTTTTGCTGTGCAACCCGAGTCGGTTCATCCGGCCTGGTCCTAGCTCAACTCCCCACTCTTAGGGCAAAGGAAAACTGAGGTAGAGACAGCTGGGCAGTGGCCAGATTTGAGGTGCACGCTGGGGTCTTAGCAGGCGCAAGGCCCGGACCCGGGAGGAGCAGGGACTCTTGACCCGCTAGGGCCTATGTTGAGGTGGAAACGTGGTGTTTAGAGCTGAGTCCAGGTCTGTGGAGCCCCGATTCGCCACTTCCCAACCCGTGAGCGAAGAAGGGCGGGGGGGCTATATTTGGGGAACCCCTAGCCTTTTTGACCACCCCGCAAGTCGTTGGGGTGGAGGAAGGTAATAGCTCCAGCCTGCGCGGAGATGCCAGAGAGGTACTCAGATTGCCCTTTTAGTCCCCACGTTTCTTCTCTTCCTCTCCTTTCTCCTCTATAAAGATGATTGCCTGGAGCGTGGGTGGGCACGTGCGTGTATAAACGAGGTTCGCACCCAGGGCGAAAAGTTTTGCTTTGCGTCAGATCTCCAGCAAAGCTCCTTGGTCACAGCTGGCACCGAGCAAAGGCAACAGTGTGGTACAGTGCTTACGATTGTGGAGACAGAGTCAACAGATCCAGGCCTTGCTTTGGAACATAACTGTGGGCTTTTGGGCAAAGTATTAACCTCTCTAAACTTTGTTTTCATAAAAAATATAGATAAGAGTTTGCCCATCATAGTAGGATTGCTAGAATTAAGTGAGATAATGTGTATGACATTGACGAATGTCCACTGCTGTTATTACTTATGCTACGTGGATCAAGATACAAGATAACATGATTCAGCAGTCCCAGCACACAATCGAAGGTGTTTTTAAATCTTTAAAAAATCAAAATGGGATCTCACAAGAGTTCTTCCTGAGATTTCATATCAAATGTTTCTTAAACTCTCTTAAGCGAATTCAATGTTACAAAAGCTATTAGGATGTTATTTCCTGAAATTCAGATGAATGAACTTGTTTCCCTGGGAGAGAGGGTGCAAAATTTCAAGCAAAACTTCATGCAAAATTTCAGCAAATTTGATTGTTCAGCCATCAAGTAATGATTTCTTATACACGGTATAATTTCATCTTCATATCAAAGCTATACCCTGAATGTTTCCAGCCTTCCCCCCCCATCCCCCCCAGAACGGAGTTGAGATCAGAGAAGTCAGGCAACTTCCAAGGTGGCCTAGCTCATTAATAGCAGGGCCAGTCTAGCACCTCGCCAAAACCAAACCTTTCCTTTCTTAATTTTTGGAATAGACATCTTTTGCCCTCAGAGATCTAAAAATCTTATGATGAAACATACATTCATTAAAAATTTTTTTTCCAATTAAAAAAAGTCATCATGTACACCATGGAAAAAATAGAAAATAGAGAAAAATTGAAACGAAAATAACATTCATCCAGAGTTAACATGTTAGCACATTTCCTTCTCTATTTATTTTTGCTAATATGAGCTCATTCGTATATACGAATTTGTATATATTTAAATTTACATCATAAGTATGTCTAGTACTTCATTAGAGTTTTAAAAACAAATATAATTTAAAATAATCTAATATTCCATGTTATGAGTGGACCATAATAAACTGTTTATACTTTTCAAACTTTTCATCACTGTAAATAAGGCTTTATTTTTGTGCTTTCATCCCTGACAATGTTTTCATTTCCTCAGGATACATATGTAGAAGAAACATTAATGAATCAAATATTTTAATGCTCATAAAACATATTATCTCACGACTTCCTAGAAAAATAATGTTATCGCATCCTCCCCCCAGAGGTGTAGGGGAATGTCTGGCTGACGGATATTTACAAGAACCACCAGACACCACCGCGAGAGAGGGCGAACTTCGAATATCCTCATTCAGAGGACAGGGGGTAGGAGCTCCGCCCCCTGCACTCCAGCCGGAGCAAGACAGGCTCAGCTCAGTCCCCGCCTTCCCAGGGCTGTGGTCGGGAGGGGGGCGACCCCGGATAAAAACCTGAAGCCACAAACTCGCCAGAGCATTATCGTAAGGTGGAATTTTCGTGGCGGACAGTCGCACTCTGGGAAGTCGTAGAAGAAAGGACACCTTGGGAGGGACTTGGCGTCGAAAGCCCTGAGTTCAAATTCTAGCCTTAGGTCCTAGATCTGGCCTTCCTGGTATGTTGCTAGGATCAAATGAGATTTTGGAGGCGAAAAGGCTTTCTAGCCCCTTGAGAGCGATGCAAACACAAGTGCTTGCTGCGAAAAGGGCTGACTTGGCTCAGGCTCGGGCGCACCCAGACCAAAGCTGGCAAGAAGTGCCCATGTCACGCTGTCGCCCAACTACTGTGGGAAAGAGACTTTCTTCCACCTCAGGGAACTTGCATGGCCGTGTTCTGATCTCAGCTGTGGGCGCTCTCAGCTCGCCCGGGTCTCACTCTCCCTAATTCACCTCTTGTGGCTCGGGACCCTTGGGAGCGGGGCCGGGCGGTCTCCCCGTGCCCTCTTCCCCTCCAGCGCCAGGGCGCATTGAGAGCCGCCCGCTAGAGAGTGGAACCAACAGCTGTTATCTCGCCCGTTCCGGGTAAATTGGGACCGCATTAGCACAAGGGCGGCACGAGCGACCTGGCCACTCAAAGCGCGCGCCGGGAGGGCGAGGAGTAAGTTAGGCTCGCAGGCGAGAGCAGAAAAGCCCGGGAGTCCTGGGGCTCTTCGGCAGGGCTCCGCGCAGCCCCCGACAGTGTGGTGCGGGGTATCAGGAACCGAGGGGTCTCCTGCTTTTTGTCCGAATTTGCATGTGCACCGCAGACATTTAAATGATCCCCGTGCAATGTGATACCTGGCACAATCACAAGGAATTTGTACACATTTATTAAGCCTCTTCTCATCCGTGGTTAATAAAAGTCTTTTTCTGCTCGTATTTCCCCCCCCCGCCAAACTTTCCTAAAACGAAGAAAATCCCTCTAGAAAGTATGATACACAGCAGGCGACTGCTGGTAAAGTTTGGCGCTAGTGGGCCCAGTGGGCTTACAGGAAGTCAACGGTCTTCAGTGTGAGGGCAGGATCCACATTAGACTAGACTAGGCTTGGACTCTGCGTCTGTTGTCACAGCTGTGTCCCCAGGGCATAGATTAGCAACTGGCATCTAATAGAGTTTCAATAAATATTTGTTGGATAAAGATATTTGCCTTATTTGGCTGGGGGTAATCCCTAGGATACCCTGGGGACTGACCCCCTCCCCTGCAAGACTCCTAATTGCCTGATGTTGGTACTTTCTGCTTTGCCAGGTCCCTTTTGCTGGGACACACTTTTAATTTTATTTTAATTTTTAGAATTTTAATTGACATAATTGTATATATTTATGGGGCATTGTGTGATATTTCAGTTTATGTATGCATGTGTAATGATCAAATCAAAGTAATCAACATATCTATCACCTCAAACATGCAACGTTTCTTTGTGTTGGGAACGTTCAAAATTCTCTCTTCTAGCAAATTAAAAAGTATACAATAAATCGTTGTCAATTAGTGTCACCCCACAGTGCTGTAGAGCACTGGAACTTACTGTTCCTATCTAGCTATATCTTTGTAACCCACTTTTAAATATTATAACATGTTTATTTTTTGAATATGTGAAACATGAACAGGAACATGGTTCTAAAAATCAAAATTATGCATAAAGATATACTTAAAGAAGTGACTACACTTCTATTCCTTCTATTCCTGTTCCCATTCCCCTTTCTTTCTTGGTTAATACATAATCTCATTCATTTATCCCAATCTCATTAATTTATCTTTTCTGTGCCTTTTTGTTTTTACAAACTAACAGATATATGTACATCATTTTCCTATTTTTCTTCTTCCTTCCATGGCAAGGTGGCTTAATATGGTTTAATACTCTTTCTTGTTCTTGAAAAGCGGTCACATTAAGTTTCTTGGAATGATATCAAGCTTCTGGTTGCTACCTGCATATGGCTGCTGCTTTATAACACAGAGGATGTCACAGCTGCAACAATGATGCTTAGAATGTAGAATGTCACCAGCACACTTTTACCTGGTGGACTGGCATTAATGTGCCAAATTTCACCAGCCTGATGAAGAACACTTTTATTTGTAATGATACTTTCATCATCAAAATTTATGATGTGGATCTAATTATCGTATTTTAGAGATGGGTTGACCACTGGTGCATCCTTTTTCTGCTGCCACAGGGCAGGCACAACTGCAGTTGCTCACACACCTGAAGCCCCCTCACTAGCACAGGCCCTCCCCAAAACACGGGCTGCTTCTAGCACCCATTCATTCAAATGGATATTCTTTTGCAGTTTGATTTTTTCACTTAACAATATATCCCATAAATCACATCACGTTGGCTCAGAGAGATCTTATAATTTTCTACAATTGCCTAGTACTCCATTGTGTGAATGTACCACAGCTTATTCAACTACCCTCCTGTGAATGCGCTTTTATATATATGTGTATATATTTATGTGTTGCCAAGTTCCCCTCCAGAATGGTTGTGTAGGTTTGCATTCTACCCGCAATGTA